TTTAACTCCAATAAAAAAAATTGACCTCATACATAGAGAAAAGGGTTGCTTTATCATTTCATAAGAAAAAAATTATAGTAAATATATTAATTCAGGAAAACTTGGCTTATTAGGCAAATCGGGCCTTGAATAGTAGGCTGAGAAGTGAGTTCTGGCTACTAGGTACGACATATATATATATATATATATATATATATATATATATATATATATATATGTATATAAAAAAAAAGATTTTATATATACATATATATATATATATATATATATATATATATATATATATATATATATATATATATATATATATATATATATATATATATATATATATATATATATATATATATATATATATATATATATATATATATATATATATATATATATATATATTAACGACATCATCAAGAGGAGCCTCACCACAGCTGGATGCCCAGTTGAAAGAGAGCCCCGTTACCTAACTTACCTAACGCCCCGTAACTCTGATGCTCTTATTGGTCGCCCGGATGGTATCACAGTGAACCCCTGGAAGAATGGCAAGCAGTTGGTATGGGACTACATGTGCGTATCAACCCTAGCTAACACCTACATTAACCTCAGTGTTGCACAACTAGGTGGCGCTACCACCCACAGGGAAGCAGCCAAATCCCGTAAGTATAGAGAACTGGATCACCACTACAATTTTGTCCCCATTGCTTCTGAGACACTCGGCGCCTGGGGTAAAAGTGCTACCAGTTTTTTTTTTAAGGAAATGGGTTCTAGGCTCATTGAAACAACAAGGGACCCTAGAGCTGCCAGCTTTCTTTTCCAGCGCCTCAGCGTGGCGATACAGAGGGGAAATGCGCACTGCATCCAGGGTTCCTGCCTGCCTTCTGAGGAGCTGGAGGAACTCGACAACCTATGATAACCATCTTTGTAACCTATATGTAACTCCTTTTTTGTAACAAAGTTCAAATAAAGCAAATATATATGTGTACATACAAAAGAATGGGGGTGGTAGGAGAAGATAATATTAGTGTTCAGTGAGAAACCCCAAGGTCTTCTCTGAATACTTTTTATTTTCTTCTCCGAGGCTGTGGGTCCCCACATTGGCACCAGAAAAAATATATATATATATATTTGTGTCTTAAGTTGTTAAAGGTGGATGAGGGACTGAATAAAGTGCTGGCTGGGGGATTCTCGCTGGTCATCTTGAAGAACTACGTCACTGTCATCGTGGAAACAAGATACACAGACGCGAGGGGCGACACTCCTTTCTTTATCAGTAACAAAGAAATTCCTGTCCTGGCTGCCTTTGGCTGGGGTATTAGGAAAGTATTTTTCATTAATGTTTATAGTTGTAAATACATATCGAATAATTTTTCAAGTTAAATATTAATGGAACTGAGAGATGAATTGCCTAATCTAAAGATATTTATTTGATTAGTTAAAAATTTTAAAGTCCAATACATTTATGCAAACATACTAAACTTATAAGATTAGTATTTATTATGTAATCTATGTAAAATGCATGAAACTTTGAAGATTAATTACAAATTAAGCTTCTCTATGAATAAATGTTTCTGCTCAATAGAAAGGGTGCTCTCTTTCATCTGAGATTCAGGCAGCTAACATCTTACCTAGAAGCTGCTGGTATTATAAATTACTGGACAAAAGACGTGATAGCCAGAAGGGTTAGGAAGGAGAGGAGGGCTGCAATGCTTGACTCTAACACAATTCCTGGAGACGTAATTGATGTATGTATCAGTATTTTCCAAAGCACCTTCAATATAATCCTAAGGCAAATACTTTCTGAAGACAAATTTACCTTAAAATATCAGTTTATTGAATCGATATCAAGTCAATCGTATCAAATCAGAGACGTAATTAAGGAATGTTAGTACATTTTTAATTGGAAAAGTTTATATAAAAAGTATTTTACATTAACTACACAAGAGAATAACAATAACAGCATAACACAAAGACAGTGTCATTGTCGGAATCAGTACCTTAATTCGCAACAATTTATACAAGTCCTTACAATACTGACTGACTAAACAAGTGCACAACACTCTAAATGAAACAAACATTTTAAACATAACATGAATGACATATAGCTAAAATATGAAAGATGACATATTGTAAAGGTAACTTGAGGTGTAACATTAGGGCACAAGACATATTGTCACAAATGTCGAAGAGACCCTAGCGAGGGTCTGATGTAACCTAAAGTGCTCACTTTCAGGATGAAGGGAATCAGGTGGTTCTGAGTCTTGACCATATGCAGGGAGCCTTCTACATGTTGCTAGTAGGCTGTGGCGTCGCCTTCGTCACCCTGCTGGGGGAGAACCTCGCCCACTGCTGCTCCACGCCTTTGTAACACCCTTCCCTGCATCACCAGACCTCAGCCAGGAACGGTGGTGGGCTGTGGCGTCGCCTTCCTCACTCTGCTGGGGGAGAAATTCCTCGGTAGTGTTCCTTGTAACAGGGAGGTGTTGAAATTAGTAATTGTTATGACTGAATTAATTATGTTATGATATATTAAGAAGTTAAGAAGAAGGAATTAATGAAAAAATTTCACAGAGAAAATGTCTCAAATAAAATACTAATAAATGACAATGACATTTTATTTTCAAATTTACTACAAAAATGGACTATTAACAGGATTCTGGCCCAATACACATCAACAATGTGTCCTCACATATCGTTCCTACTGTGGGAGATTTTTCTCCACCATTTATTCTCATGTAATAGTTAATTAATATTTAATTCAAAATAATATTTGAGAAGTGGACTGTAAAAACTTCTATATATAGTGGAATGATTCTCCTACACATCTTTTTTTTTTTTGGGGGGGGGGAGTAAATTCAATAATGTTAAACTACATATAACATAGATATGAAATAACATCATAAATAAATAAAAAATGAATTACAGCATGGTGTTACAATGCCAACTACTAAGTTATCAATATTTAGAAGTTTGGCTGCCCAAGACGAAAGAAGAATACGTACGACAACTCGGTAATCAGTCTTTTCATCAATGCCTGTTATCTTGGGCAACACATGATTCCTCTGGACAGAGTACTCTATCCTTGTAGATAGCACCACGATGCAATATTAATATCATATAATTTCTACCTACAAGTGTATATATTGTGACGATAATCTCTTTCAAGAGAGATTGAGTCTGCTCTTCCCTACATCATTACGCCGTTCAAGTACAAGATACTATATAGAAGATACGTCCACCAGTATCGCCAAACGTTTTGCCCAGGAAGCAAATCGTACCATGCACACCCCGACACCTGCCACATCCGTGGTAACCAGCAAACTGCTCATACTCCGCCTGCCTGTTGCTGATTGGCTGGTGTCTCGCCGCACCTGCACTCACGCCACCACCAAGAGTCGTCGTCTGGGCAGCAGCACGCCGTACTCCTCAGAATATCTCTGTGCTCCTTGGAGTTGACATCTCTCGGTAGTAGACTAAGCCTTGGCTTTCGTGTACTAAGGGAGGTGGAAGCTTGAAGCCAGTATTCCAGCACCTCACTTATTTAATTTATATTGCTATCACTATAACGTGCATTCTGGTCTTAGAGTAACTTTTCATTGCCAGTTATTATTCATGTTATTTTGTTTGTTGACCAGTGTTGAATTTTATGAGATTGTCTTTATTCATGTCTTGTTTTCTAGAGTAATTAAAATTTCATTGTTTATATACTTGTGTTTTGTGTGTCTTCCCATTACCTTACCACAGACGAAAGGACAAACTTCTCTTTTTTTTTGTTATGTGACGAGGCCCTGCCCCCAGCTTTTGAAACAGCCGAACACCAACGCTCTACCGTCACATTACATGGGGGCCTGTCCACGGAGCTTCACTCAGGTACTGGTACCAAATTGTAAATTTGTGGTAAGCGTATTTGGCTTTGGTAAAGTAGCTTTTCACTATTTTCAATATTCAATTTTATTTTCATACGATGCTGTGTGTATTGTGCATTCCGAGAGTAGCATATGGTGAAGGTGAGACAACTTTGGATTACGTGGTGACCGTAGGCCTCAGTCATTCTCTTAATTGGTCATCTCTCCCTCCGTGTTATTACTCGTGTTTACCATCTTTTGTCCCTAGGATATTTCTCACTTTTTCGGCAGATCATCATATTAGTACCCTGGTACTGTGGTCTGTCCCCGGGTCAAGAACACCTAATCTTCTGCAATCTGACAGTAGGAGGATAAAGAGGGCCATTGTTCCTCATGCACGAACTTTAGTTGCTGAATTGGGACCTCAGCAGCAGTTCTCGTCACCAGTTGACACCTCGCACCCCTACACGTCGGTCAGAGATGATGATATTTACATTGGTAAGGAATTAGCCTTCTTTTTCAGAGCACAAAAGTTCGCTAATTCTGTAAGTATCATATTAATTTCAGTGGGAAAAACTTGCTTATGTCCTATAGAGACTCGGCAAGGTATGCCTACATTCTTGGACTACCTAATTCACTTTTGAGGCAATTAACTGTTTCATTTGTTTTAGAAACTCAGTTTCGTTTGTTTAGTAGGATTTTCTTGCCCTTATCCTCTTACATTGAGTACCGGGTACAAGATTTCCTGCGACCTTGATTTATTAATCATTTATCATCTTGAAATTAACATTAATTGTTAACGATTCCACAGGATAGGTACCAGTTTGCCACGTTGTGGAGTCCACCTGGAGCTGCCGTGAGGTACAGACGTGTCGTCTGGCCGCTGGTAGTTTGGGGTGTTTGCTGTTTTCGTCACCAGGGGGTGTGGGCGTCTCTGCCCCCTCCCCCCCTGCTGTTGTTGCTGGCTGCGTGTTGACGTGGCGAGCTTGCCATGGGTGGTCCCCTTCCTCCTGTTAAGCGCGTGTACTCCGTGGGCCTGGAGTTCACTGGTCGTGCTGGATATGCGGCTATTGAAATGGTCATGTGCGACATGCTCCGTGTCCCTGTGATGGCCGTTTACGGTGTTGAGCTTGTAACTGCCCACCGGGTTGTCATCAAGTTCGTGACGGAGGAGGTGTACCGTGATTTTCTCCGTTGTTACGAGGGACGTTCGTTGTCGCTGCCAGGTGGTGCCGGCTCTGTAACCATCTCGGACCGTAGTGGTGCACTGACGTATGTCAGTGTGCATGGGGCGCCCCTGGAGTTTCCCGAGGACGTTCTCCGGCGATACTTTCAGCAGTTTGGGGCGGTCATCAGTGTGCGGGTCAACAAGCTCTCCTCTGGGAGGTATGCAGGTAGGCGGATGAACGTTCGCACCTTGGGGATGCGCCTGCGGTCGGATATTCCATCTGGGGTCCGGCTTCTGGGGTACTACGTCTGGGTGTACTATGCCCGGCAGCCTCGTACCTGTTTCCGGTGTGGCCTGTTGGGGCATCAGGCTGCCGGGTGCGATGCGGCCCTGGTTGCTCAGGTCAACTTGTTCCGGGAAGAGGATTTCCCACCGCTCCCTCTGGACGAGGACTCTGGGGGTGAGGAGGTGAGTGTCCCGTTCGTTGCTGAGGCTCCCCCTGAGTCGCCCGACGTTCCCCCGGTTGTCACCGACCCTCCTCCGGATGTTGCAGTGCCGTCGGATGCTACTCCTGCTCCTGTCGCTGTTGCGCCCGTGGACCTTCCTGTTGCTCCATGTGAGGCATCGCCGTGTGCGTGCCCGACTTCAGCTGCTGCGCCTGGCCCTGCATCCTCGCCTCGGGTCCCGGCTGTGCTGGGTGCTGGGGTGGATGTGGGGGCCCCTGATGTGTGTGGTCCAGTTCCCCCTGTGGTCGAGGCTGCTGCTGTTCTGCGGCGGGCGTCAGTTCGTCCGGCTAGTGGGGCCCGTGTTTCTGAGTCAGCTTCCGGCTCTGACGATCTCAGGCCGGTGCCCAAACGTTCCCGGCGTTCGTCGTCTGCCTGGACTGATGTTGGGGAATTTAGTGACTGTGGGTCTTCGGGTGTGGATGGAGTGGTTCCGGATGCGTCGTTGGCTTCGAAGTTAGTGGTGGCGGAGGTCCATGTGTCTGCTGACGTTGATGCCTGTGTCTCGGGTGTGCCTGATGTTTCTTCTCCACCGGGGGCCTCTCCGCGGTGGGGAGTGGTGGCCTCCGCTGCCAGGGATGGTGGGGATGAAGGAGTTGGGCGTGGCCTGGTGGTGACCTTGCGGAAGGATGTGCGCAGTTCGGTATCTCGGCGGTCGTCCGGTGGTGTGCCCGTGGACGCTGGTGCCCCTGTGGTAGTGCCTTCTGTCCGGCTCCCTCCTTTGAGGATATCCGTTGGGGACTTGGGGACTGTGTTACCGGAGTCTGTGATGCCGTTGGGTCACTGGGCGTGGATTGCTCTGTTACCGATCTGCGAGGAGGCGCTGGACTTTAAGGATGGGGCAGTTCCATTGGTGTGGGAGCGTGTGCCGGTCACTAGGATCAGGAGTGATACCATTTGGGTGCCCTGTTTGAGGGTGTTTGTTGCCAATGTCCCGGATGATATGGCGTCCCCGGTGGATGGTCAGGGTCCTTGGCAGTGGTTACGATGGGAGGCGTTCCAGGTACGATTCCCTCGGGACGTGTTTCCGGGCAAGTATGTCTGATGATTTTCTACTTTTGTGCTTAATTTTCTGCTGTGTGCCCTTCTGGCTGTTTGTTTGCCTTTCGGTAGTTTGTGCCCATGCCTCTCCCTTTGTTTGTGGCGAGGCGGGTGGTTTGGTGTGTGTGTTAGTCTTCATGTATTTGTTTTGTGTTATTCCCGTGCCCTATGTGTTTTATTTTATGCTTATGTGTTGTGTTTGTCTTTTATTTGTATCTTTTTATATTATTTATATTTTTTTGTTTGTTATTGGCTGGTTGTGTGGTGTGCTATTTTCTTGTATTTTTTATTATATTTCAATTTGTTCATACTATTGTACTTTGTTGTCAGTCCTTCAGGCCGGCGCTTCTGTTTTGTTTCATACTGCTAAAATGATTTAACTTGTTGCTATTTTCTTGTTTTGCTTGCATTGCATGTTTGTTTGTGAATTGTTTTCTGTTTTGTTCTCTATTTTGTAACCTTTTGTGTATTTATTCTGCATTTCTTGTACCCTTTCCAGTTTTGGTACTTGTTGTTCTGTCGGTCCTTCTGGCCGGCGGTTTCTTGTTTTGTTCTGTTGTGTTTCTAATTTTATGTTTTATTGTAATTTAAATCGCATGCTTGTATGTAAAAATATAAATAAAAAAAAAAAAAAAGTTGCCACGTTGTCCTGTTTCTGACGTTCACCATATGACAACAGTATATTCGTTGTGCATTTATTTGCTAATTTCACCATGTTTCGTCTCCAAGCTTTCCGTACAGATCCAGCAGGTGAAATAGGGACAATAAGTCGTGCCAAGAGGACTGAATTACAAACTGTTGCACATGAGTATCAACTACAAGATCCCTACCAAGCCAACAAAAATGAAATACATAACCTGTTACTGGATCATCTCTTAGAGGAAGGTAAGATAGACTCTGAAACTCACGAAACTTACTTTATTGCAGATAAAACTGATTTGGCAACGAT